CATTCATAAATTAGTTGCGGCAAAAATGCTGATTACCGATGTAATTTTCCATGAATCTGCTATATTAGCGATTAAAATATTACTTATCTAGTTAACGTTAGCTTGTTTACAATATCTTGTTGCATAGTGCACTGCAACTAACACGCCAAAGCCGTTTCCCATGCATTGTTTTATTTGTGACGACTTGGCATAATGCTAACGTAACATTAACGGCCACAATTAGCATATTGTTTAGCTGTGCATTTACTAAATGAGCCATGTGCTACGTCCGAACTCACCCCATTATTATTATTTTTTTTGTTTAATCAATTTCTATTATGCATTTAAACAGTCATGTTTAAATTTTATTGTATGTTGATGGCTTGACTGTAAACAACATAACAAACAATGCAATAAATAGTTTTGAAGAAAAATCTGCTTTGTCATTAAACCTGAGAAAAACTTTGAAAATAACCATAATGACGCAGTCTCCATGCTACAATAATAATGATAGAAGCAAAGTTTTTCATTGTGGGGACATATCTTCATAAGTACAATTTGACTGTATTATTTGTGTCCCCTTCAAAAATTGCTCATGAGAAATTTTATATTTATTGTCCCCCCCCTACTCTTAAATGAAATTTACGCCCATGATTCGGGGGTTCTGGAGAGGAGGGTCCATCGGATTGTTGAACCTCGGATTCAGGAGGAGCAGTGTGGCTCTATACTCTCGGCAGGGTCCTGGAGGGTTCAGGGCAGTTTGCCCAACCAGTCTACATGTGTTTTGTGGACTTGGAGATGGCATTCGACCGTGTCCCTCGGGGAGTCCTGTGGGGGGTGCTCCGGGAGTATGGGGTGCCGGGCTTCCTTATAAGGGCTGTTCGGTCTCTGTATGACCGGTGTCAGAGCTTGGTCCGCATTGTTGGCAGTAAGTTGGACTCATTTGCGGTGATGGTTGGACTCCGTCAGGGCTGCCCTTTGTCACCAATTCTGTTCATTGGTGACCTCAGGATTAGGTCTCTGCTTTTTGCAGATTATGTGGTTCTGTTGGCTTCATTGGACCGTGATCTTCGGCTCTCGCTGGGACAGTTTGCAGCCGAGTGTGAAGCGGCTGGGATGAGAATCAGCACCTCCAAATCCGAGACCATGGTCCTCAGCCGGAAAAGGGTGGAGTGCTCTCTCCGGGTCGGGGAGGGGGTCCTTCCCCAAGTGGAGGAGTTTAAGTATCTCGGGGTCTTGTTCACGAGTGAGGGAAAGATGGAGTGGGAGCTCGACAGGCAGATAGGTGCGGGCATCCCCCGGAGGAGCTGGAAGAAGTGGCCGGGGAGAGGGAAGTCTGGGTTTCCCTGCTGAGACTGCTGCCCCCGCAACACGACCTTGGATAATCAGAAGATAATGGATGGATGGATGGCCTTAGTAGCCTACAAATGATTTTGAGATTTTGTCACCTGAAACACTTGTGAGTTCTCCGAAAGTGCAGGTATGGTCAGAACACAGCGGCTGAATCAGCCCCTTCAGGAAGAATGTGCCATAGCCCCAACTGTAACGTGTCAAAGAGATTTTCTGCCCAAGGCTGAATAGGCAGCCTTATTGGGCCACAGTGTTCCTCCAGTCCAGCAAAGCCTAGGAGAGCTTCTGACTGACCTTTTCCCTCTTAACCCTTCTCACATTTTGTCCTTATTTTTTAAAGAAAAGAATGCTTTTCAATGAACAATTGCCTATGAATGCTCGGTAAATAGTGTTATGGGAAAAAGTTATCGTCACCTTGACAACCTGCAGAATCCTGGGCAGCATAACCAGCAGGATTGTATGACTGTGGTATGAAACACAAAAGCTGCATAAATTGCTATTGATACAGTCTCAGCCAGGCAAATAAATAAATTTAGAAGCAAAATGTAGTTAAGCAGGTGCTGCTTGCTTGCCTGTAACAGCTTGAGGATGGACTTGCTCAAATACTAGTTGTTAAAAAGATGAGGAGTGGATGAATCCAGAAGACCAAGCATTTTAGAATTAGCAATCTGTTGTTTAGTATAAAGAATGATTTTCAAGCCCTGATACACTGGTTTGGACAAAGGCAGTTCCTGAGCTCCGAAGTGACACATTCGCCTGACCGTTTATGTCTCTTATGCTCGGCTGTGTAGTATCTGTGTTGGAGTGTCTTCCAAAGGCAATGGAGGCGGACAGTTCCAACATCCTTCTCCCTGATGTGCATACTTCCTCCTGGCCGCCTCGCTCGTTTTCCAGGACCGTCTGCCGGGTCCTCGCCGTCGGCTGACAATTGCAGTCTCTTTCTGAGTCAGTTGGAGGACCCTTCAGTCGCCTCATTGTAAATACATCACTTGATTACACCGGCCTCCCGCACAAGCGTCTTGATTTAGCCATGAATGCCTGTCTAATATCCGAATAATATGCTGTAATCCTACCCACACTGTGAACTCTGTACCTTGTCATTTTATTCATATGATAATTGAAAGTAAGGTCTACACATTGCACAGAATTTGACGCCGTGTCAGAATTGGCCCCTGTTTTTGTCCCTGGGGGGGGGGGGGCTGAGACCAACTGGCAGAAACCCTAGACGCATTTGGAGGACATCAATGGGGCCTAGAACTCCCCCAGGACTGACATCTCAGGTAGGCCTTCAGGGGGCCTGGATGGGATTCGCTGGAGGGAAAATCCATGTGGGTGGAATGTCTCTTGTTTTTTCCAGCATATCAGTCGTATCTGCTTCAGCTAGCCATTTGTTGTATTTCTCTGACATCTGGCTCCAGCCCAGGTATCTGACGGAGAGCATGCCATTTCATCTTTGTGGTCAGTTATATAAACATGTTCTTCCATGTGAAATTAGTCAAGGAAACATCTACTGACATTTCAGTTTGCAAAAAGGTTAGATCTTCCCCTTTGCAGACTGTCTCCATGACCAGTTTCTGAATGCACGTAACCTCAGGAAGATCCTGCACTGTCTCGGGCTGCCCTGAGATCTCCCTGCCTCTCATTACACGTTGAGGTCTGAGGGGACCCTCAGGCTTAATTGTAGAAGTTAATGGAGGATTACTTCTTATTGACGGCCCGGAGTAGCCAATCGGGAGACTCGACAACAACACTTCATAATGTAAACCAGCAGGATATCTCATGCACACACACACACACACACAATAGACCACGATTGCTCTGCATAGTGAAACGCACAAATACGCAGTAGGCACGTCAGTATGATCGCTTGTCACTAGAACTGAGTGTGCACAGTTGCAGAGGTACCACAACTAATCGCCTGCTATTGCTAATCACTGGAAGTTTCTCAAATGATGGATATTAACAAGAGACCGGGCAGGGCTGAAAAAGTCAGACTGCTTGAACAGCTCAATATGGTAGGGTATTTATTATTTATTTTCTTCATGAAATGTCAGTAATAGATTTATAGAGATAATAAGACTTGAACTGTGGCATCATTTATCAGAGCTCCCCCAGAAAGAAGACGCAATGGGTTGGTTTTGGGCACAAGACTCCTGGACTGAGAATTAGTGTCACTTCATGCCTGACATGGACGATGTAGCCTTTGGCCTGATCTGTAGGAAGTAGGAGCGCCAGGCCTCTCAGCTGTGCTTGCTGTAGAACCCTGAAGACCACCGAGGCAGGGTAAGACAACCCTGACCCTCGGAGCGTTGTGCATGTTTCGGGGCAGCATTGTGTAAATCCCGAGCCGGTTTTGTTTGGGAGTCTGAAATCGGCAGAATGTTCCTATTACATCCGACCGCTGGCGGAGTCCAAATCCTGTGTGACACAGTGTCGCCCACCATTGCCCAACTGCAGTGTGAGCGAGAGGAAGGCACTCGCTTTACATTTAAAATCTCCGCGGTTCAGATTCATGTCTTCCGCCTGAGTCAGACGCTTCCTAGGTGACCAGGGACATTGCTGAGCAAAACAACCTCGCAGCTGTAAACAAGCAAAGTCGCATGATGACTAGGAAAAAAAAAAACCAGAAGCTGCAGATCTTCTGTCACGACTGGGTCGTCTCCTCCAGCGGTACGGATGAGGTGGTAACCAGGGAAAGCCATCTTCTTGGCCGGTTGGTGCTAAACATGACAGTCTGCTGGCTCGGGTCTTTGAGGGGAGTGCGGATTTCAGCAAACATCAGCTGCAGACCCGCCTGCTGTGCTCACACCTGTTGGTGCTGGAGACCTTCATGCCGACTTTACAGTGAGAGCTCCCCATCGCGCCCCCCCCCCCACCAACAAAATTATAGCCCAGTCTTTTTATAGCAAAGGCTGACTTTCACGGGTATCATGAAAGGCATCTCACATAGTCTAATGAATCACTTCCATAGTAGTCTAGGTGTCTAAATTCAGTCCAGGCACAATACACCTTCTTATACCTTACAAACGTCAAGCTGCTGGTTCCCCAAACCTGGAGGACTCTTAGGATGTTTCCTGACAAAAAAAAAAAATCTCGTGTTAGCATTTACTATAACACGGACTCCACTAATTTTAGTACTCATTTTAAATTTTACCCTGATTTTTTTTTTTGCAGTTTTTAGCTAGTAGTTGTAAAGGGAGTTTTCTTCTCATTGGTGTATAGCGCCCTCTATCTACTGGAGGACTTTATAGCATGTAGGCAGGATTTTATACTTCAACTGCAGGCATGATAAACACATGTGGGGCATCAGCAACAGGCAGTGAGACCCCTGTGCTCTGCTGGTATTATCAGTATGCTGTGTATGTGCCACTCAAAGGCCAGGGAAGCCTTCTCTGGGACTATCAACAGCAGGGGTGGGGAACCTGGATCCATGGAGGGTCAGTGAGGGTGAGGCTATTTGGGATCACCTATCAATAAGCCAATAACAAAACAGTGGTTCTCAACTCCAGTCCCGGGGAACCCTCTGCGATTGGTTGATTGAGAGATCCCACTAACCTGCACCCACACTGGCCCTCCGTGGAACAGGTTCCCCACCCCTGATCTACAGGTCGTTCCAGTGACTGTTGAGTCGCCATTTCAGCATCTCTTAAGTCATTCATACATAGTTTTCTGCTTCCTTGAGTGACCTACAGCCTTGCCACAAGGGAAACAGCTGGAACGGTGGATGGAAAGTGGTCATTCAAAAAAATTAACTTTGATTTTATCCACAATTCTCTGCACGGACAGTGCAGGTTACACCGCCCCCATGTGTGCCACTGGTAAGAATATTCCGGAGTTGTTTAATGAGCAGACAGAAGTGAAAGTCAGTGTTAAATTTCAGCAGACATGTTTTCTCACCAGGAATATAAATGACTTCCCTTCAGTCACTCAACACTATTCCTATCCATGAATTTGTACGTGTAAAAAAATCCACTCATATTCTGTTGCTTCTTTGTGCTTAGTACAACGGCCACACACTAATTACTATCATTGAGATGACACTTTTTAATTAAACACTAACATCTGGGGCAAAGTGATATTCAACCAGTCATTCAAACCCACAGAGCTCTAATCTGTCCTCAGGAACTCCTCGGTCCTTTCGAACAATAGCAGAGGCTGTTAAGTTTGTCACCATGGAGATCGTCATGGTATCAAGCCGACATTCTGCTCTTGGCGGTGGACAGGTGAGACAGGACCCGGCCGAAACCTGCCACCAGCTTTTTAAATTTTTTTTTGCTGAAACCTGAACGACACTAACATCCTTTTCTTCTCACGTTACCTGTGTGACGTTGATGGCCAGACACCGCAGTCTCTCCCTGCAATTACAACCGCCCGTCAGTAGGGGGATCTTTGCAGAAACTGGCTTTATGAAACCCACATTTAAATGTCAGGGAGCAATTGCCAAGACTTTCTAAATTGGTTCACAGCACAGAAAAATGAATTAATCGATGCAATTTAATATGGTCTTCAATTTTCCAATTTGTTTGATGTTTCACACTGTACATCTGTGTCCATTTACATTTCACAAATAGTCGTACACCCTCGCAAGACTGCATTATGGGAGGAGAGTATAAATCCACCATTCATTCTGTAAAATTACCCGGATATAATCCATTTTATCCACAATTATTCATGTCCTCGGCTCCTCTTGGAAAGCAGGAAAGTTGAAGTGTGTTAGTGTGGGCCTCAGAGAATGGATCGACACATTATAGACGGCTGCAGGGCTCATCGTGCTTTGACCAGATTATCCATCCATCCATCATTCTATCTGTCTATCTATCTGATAGAGACTGGCCTCTGTGTGTGTGTCCATCCTTCTATCTATCTATCTGATAGAGACTGGTCTGTGTGTGTGTCCATCCTTCTATCTATCTATCTATCTATCTATCTATCTGATAGAGACTGGCCTGTGTATGTGTGTGTCCATTCATCCATCCATCGCACAGGGTACGAAGCAGGGGACATCCTCAACAGCATGCAAGTGCATCACAGGACACACTAAGAAAGCCATTAATCATGTTTTCAAATAAGCCAACACATATATCCTCCCAGGGAGCAGAAATGGATCTCAACAAAACACCTCCCGTTGCACTGAGACACAGAACCCATTTATCCACCTGTGATAAATGATAGACTTTCCATGTTTACAAACGTCTACCTCAATCGTACCACTCTTAAACCGTAATAGCCCTACACACTTTTATATTAGATCTTAACCTGACATCGTCTGTGACTGTACTCGCACATTTAGCTTACTCAGTTTTATAGGTCTGTCTGGCTGCTACATCCCACACCGGCTATGCCGTCCGCGGGTTTTTATCGTTCCATCACTCACCCCGCAAACGAAAGCTTCAGCTGGACAGAGCAGCACCAGCTGGCTTCGGCAGGTGAGTGATTCCCAGACGCGGCCGTTCTGCATCTCACAGCAGATTTACACCTGTAAATGGAGATGTTTCCATCTAGGAGACCGCTCTAATTAATCAGTCGCATCCTGGGTCACGTGACCAATTCTGGGCAGTAGAAATTCGAGAGTTTTTTTTTTTTCTTGTTGCCAGGCGTATGAAATATTAGATCATTAAAATTTTAGAGGGTTGGTGTGGTGGAATGTGGAGTGTTTCACAACCTCAGTGTTGGGGCTTTTAGTTGCACATAGTGTGTGATGGTGTTTGGACCCTATGCACCCCTGTCTGTGATGCCTGCGACATGCTGCAGGCCCCTGACCTTGTCCATAATAAGTGAAGATGGATGGATTGAGTCAGGAGGAGGAGCAGCATGGATATATGAGCTTATTTTGGCTGGCACATAGACCAGGCAATCCTGGCATTTGCAGGGGCCGCCAGACCACTAGGGGGCACACCGGGGGGAGTTGTGATTAGGCCTGTCGCAAGCAGCGTAAATGCGTACGTATTTAATGCGCTTTAGCGCTAAGACATTACCATGGATTTTTGTTTTATGTGACTAATTTGTACTAATTTCACGGTATAAATGCTCAAATGAACGCTGATTTCTTGTCATAACAGTGCGAATGCACATAAAATAAATAAGTATTTGCATATACGACGAATGCGTACTTGCGTACCAGTGATGTGTAACCCTGGATATAAATATAGCTGAAACGAACACAAAATACGCTAAATTTCATTTTTCAGTTTAGAGTGAACCCAAGCTATAAGTATACCAAAATATCATGCCGTTGGATAGCAGAAGTTTTAATTGATGTAAATCTAAACTAAAATCAGACGCGGGATATTCAGGTAATCGTGTTGATCAAAAAAATACAACTGGAGTGAACACTTAAAATGAAAAGCAAAAAAAAACAGATTGTTTTTTTAAGTGAACGGAATCATTAACACCAGGGACCTGTATCTTGTTTCAAGAACATCTTAGACGCAACAGCTGACTGGAAGAAGCAGCGATATAAGTTTAACGAGCTGGCAAACAAAATTAGCAGGATTAGAGGGGAAGAGAATGATGTAATGATATATGTCACACTTACGTGATCATTTCATGTCATGTTTTGCTTTTAAATCGTTGATACACTAATTGTCCAGCAATTTCTATATAGGCCTAGGCCTACAAAAATACCCCGTCATACGTCAATTCGTGTTCCGTACGTTGAATTCGACTTTGCGTCGGTTTTTTGTTAAAAATACAGTATACCTATATGGCGAAAAATACAAGTCATCTTAAGTCGGTTTACGCAACCTTACGTTGGTCAGGTGATGTTAAAATTTGTAAAATAATATATTATGTACAAACTCAAATAAAAGCTTATAAAATTAAAAATATTACAATATATATATATTTTTAATTTAGCATTAATAACATATATTTAAGGGAAATTCTTATTAGGTATTCATATTGTCTAAATCGTTTTTTATTTTCATTTTATTTTAAGTCATTTTTTTGACTTAACATGCCTTTAGGAACCAATGACTGATGTAGGGTGTGGCTGTGCCAAGGATAACAAGTGATGAACACCTCCAAGCCAGTAGGGGGAGTCTGAAATACCTACCACTATACTTTCCGCAAGGTGAAACGCATAGTCAGACAATGCCTCAATATTTTGCTCCTATGCAGAGCCTTTTGGGTGGGTGAGGAGGGGGTCGCAGTGTTATAATGCACAGGCTCACAAAGCAGGCCGGGGATTATAGAGAGCTACGGAGCAAAGGGGACCATATGGGACAGGGGCCTAGCGTGGCGGCACCTCCCGTAAGGTGTCATGTGACATCTGCACCGATGTGTGTCGCGTGCTCGTTTTGGTCCTTGCCTTATGGTGCCTGTGCCCTGCATGCGCTGTATACTTTTTTTATAGGAACAGCTGCCTCATTGATTTACACAGTGTTTATCAGCTTAGATTTTGTTTTGTTTTTTAAAAAAAAAAAAACTAAAGTAAATCATGCCCATTTATGCTCAGCAGCGGCACAAGCCCGGCTGGGCGAGTGGAAACAGATGAACGCAACGCAGCCCCGGCCAGACCGTCTATTTATGGTTCGAGAGCTTACAGGCATTTGTTACATGCCTGCGCCCCTGGGGCTGCCAAGCTGGGAGTAACTCACCCTCCCTGCGTCCCGGCAGACATTCGCCATGATCTTTCATTTTTACACTACATTTTCATTTATTTGGCAGGCTCTTTAATCCAAAGTGACATACTTTCTTTTTCTTGTCTTTTTTTGAGAAAGCAGAGTCAGCCAGTCCCTGGAGGCGAATTTGCGCTTCACAGGGTGGTTCAGGAAATCTTATTAATATTCATGAGATAAGCTGTCCCTGATTGGCCAGTGAATGCCTTAGACAGAAAAAAAAGGCAGCATATGTTGATGTTAACTGGCCAATCAGGTAGTGCGTCGCTCATAAATATTAATGAGTTGGCCAATCATGTAGCGCTTCTCTCACGGAGCAACTGGGGGTCCAGTGGTGGCATCACTCTGTCGGCCCTGGGATTTGAATCAATGACGTTCCAATCACATATGTGATTAGGTGTCTCTAAATTTTCTTGTGATGGACTGATGGCCCATCCAGGGTGTTTTTCCTTCTATCCTTTGCTTTCTTTATGACCCTGTAGATGGATGGATGGATGGATGTTCCAGATGTGTGCATGAGTAAAAATGGCAGGTATGGCTGGATAAAAATATAAGCTCATTTTAACGTGAACCATCACAAACATGTAAAATATAACACGTAACGTGCAAATTTGGAATCACTGCCAACAAACGTAAAGAGCGACAAGTTTCCAGCCCTCGCCCGTTCTTGTAGGTATATGTCTGCCTGCCTGGTCCGTGCATGACTCTGTACAGTAGACCCCGTTAATCAGCATTGTCTCGTTCTCTCCATCCGTGGTGACCCAGCGTGATTAATGGCAGGAACAGTGTCGCTGACAGAAAGGTCAGTATTACTCATAGCTGGGTTGATTTCTGCATGTACTTAACACAGGAGCCAAGAAAAAACAATCCTGAAACAAAACTGAATTAGCCAGGGCTTTTGGCGGCACGCCGCACGTATAACCGAGGTTTGCGTCTCAGTGCTATTCTTAGACGAATAAACAGCGTGTTTTATGTAACGGAGAACAGGACGGCACATTAGCTGACCTTGTTAAGCTGTGTGATATACGTCTTTCATCTCTACAGCGGCAACTGCAGACGCACAAAGTTTGCCCATTTTATCGTAAATATAGAACTTGATCTAGCATAAATAATGTCGCTGGAGCCAAGCACGGCATCTTTGAAGCGGAGCCTTGGAAATGCGGCGCGGTGTAAATTTCAGGACTGTAATCCCCGATTCATCCGCCCGTCTTAGTTAACAAACGTAATGGAAAGATTATTAATAAACTATTTCTAAAAATCCAGTTCCAGTTTTTCTAAGTTTATAAATATCGCATGTCCTCCTTTGGGGAATAAATTGTGTGTTTGTAAATGTTAACTTTTGTTCTTGTTTTAATTTTTAACAGGATAGCTCTACTTTATTCTCTGCCAGCCACATGGGTTTGAACCAGCAGCCTTCTGATCACAGTGACAGAGGCTCAATCCACAGGGACACGCACTGCCCCACACTAGTTGAAATATTTTACAGCTATTGAGTTAGGGGTTCAGATGCTGCCGCTGGCTGTGTATGTGTGTGTGTGTGTGTGTGTGTTTTTGTGTGTGCGCGCGCGCCCGCCCGTGTGCGCCCTGCGGCACTCTGGCATCACAGGTTTCCTAAGCTGGGATAGGCTCCAGAATTACCATTATGGAAGACGGATTGATGTATTTCATATTTATTAAATGAAGGTTTTGTGCATGTAACAATCGTAATTAGTAAACAGCGCAAACATTTAAGAGCTGTTTAGGGCCAGGCTTGTGGGCCAAGTTGTTGATCAGCGTGCATCATTATGATTAACGTGACGTCCCAGAATTCCCAGTTCTTTATGCAGAGCCCTATTAATTTATTACATTCACTTTTGCGAAAGTGAATTAAAATTAATATCAAATTAAAATTCATTAATCTGGAAAAAATGTATTGGTTTTGCTTACACACAGAATACAGTACAGACCAATTTGTGATTAAATTTTTATATTTGGAATCCTTCCCATATTGTCAGCATGAGTGTTATAGAATATAATAGTATAAAAGTCATACAAATAATGCATTTTAATTAATCATGCAGAGGTATTTTTCCCTAGCCCCGGGAGTTTATGCAAATAAATAATGAATCTGCAGAGACTTTTCAAATCCAACCGGATGAATTAGCTTCAATAGCACAAAGCACAAAAAAATCAGGTGCATAATTATACTTTAATTGACAGCCTTTGAAGTGATAAATGATTAAAAATCTGCAGGAAAAGTGTACAGTACCTTTCAGGGTGATTTTCTGAGGATGTCAGGAATGGATGGACGCTAGTAAAGATTTTCTAAACGGGGTGGTGTTTCCTTCTTTAACTACTGGAAGTAGCAGTTTTTTGTTTAGCTGCACCGTACTGTGCTGTGGAATATTCCAGAACGAGACCCCGAACGGCTCGGTTTCAGTGAATCAGACGGAAAACACTAATCCTGCAAAATCTACGAGTCACGCGATCGAGAATAACTGAAGAATCGGTCGAAAACCAAGCACCGTGGCATAAAGCGAATCGTGTGAAATTATACAGCTATCCATTAAATAAAATTCAAACGTGGAAGGAGGTTCGAAATTAATGTGGGGTGCAAAGGTCATCATTTAAAAAGGCGCTTGGCTGAAAAGTCCACACCTCCTTCCACCTTCAACACTCATCTTTCATTACAAGGATAATCGATACTTCCAGATCAATACTTCATGTAATAGTAATACACCACATTTCCTTATAGAAGCATTAATCTATTGAAACGTACACATTTTGGCTACATTTACAATAACATACCTTTCATTACTTGAAAATAATTCAAGACCAATATTATCATAATAATAAACACGAAAAACAAAGTCGATTCTGAAATTACAGATATGGTACAGTACAGTCTGAGTCAGACTGTCATTGAAATGTGTTAAAAAAATAGTGAAACAACTCTGAATATGAAAAAAAAAGCAAAACATGCAAACACACCATATTCTGCCGAAAATTTGAACATGCTTTATAAGCTGTTCGGCCAATTATGCTTTGGAAAATTCTACATTTTCTTTGTTTTTGTTAAGCACTTGGTCAAAGCATGGAGTCTGAGTGATCAGGAAATCAAATTCATGCTGGGAATCTTCTTGCGTGATATCGGCACAAAACTTTCACTGACGCCAGTGAATAACACTGCCGTTAACATGGTAATTTCAAGGAATTCTGGGACTAGCCTCAAAATTAAAACAAAAGCGCATGTCAGACGGCAATCGTATCGCTGCAATGTCATTCCGTGGATTTAACGACAGTTAGATGTTTCGCGGTCAGATGCCTAACCCACGGTCAAACATAGCCGGCACCGCAACTCCGTGGGCGCTTGTCTTCGGACGCGGCCATGCTCGGGGCAACCTGCGGTGGCGCCGTCTGCTAGCAGACTACGGGGGAAGAGCGCGGAAACGAGCGAGGCTCGGACACGTTTCAGACGCAGGGGTGCCGTGTTGTCACCGGATTTTCGGACTCTTCTTGCTCGGTCTTGTAACACCGCGGGTCAGGTGACAAGCACAATGGGGGCCAGGGTGGGGAGGGGCGGGGGGGCAGAGTGCCTGAAGCTTGACATCATCCTTTTCTTTTCGGTGGAATGCGGCATCTTCGGCCTGCAGGGGCTCGGGTTATACAGGCGAGGGGGGCAGTGTTGCATTTTTTCTTTGTTTTGTTTTTTTTTTGGAGTTCGTACCCCCCCCCCCCCCCATTACAGTCTCCTTGGGCTATGCTCCTCCGTGCAGGCGCCTCTCCGGAGGCTTATGTCATCCAGCGCGATCTCACCGCTCCGGTTCCTCCCCCGCTCGCCCTTCAGGATCACCTGCGGGAAGTGGACGGCGTGAGCCCCGGAGGCGGGAATTGAGAGGAGCTGGTCCTGAAGTGTCTTTCTTTACCATAAAATCAAGCAGGTGGGACAGCAAGACTCCAGCAACCCCATACCAACCCCAGTACCAAGCCAGGGAACATTCACCCACATTCAAAGGAGGTTGAACAGTACGGGTTACTAGTGATGGCCAAATGAAGCTCCATGAACCATTTGCTGTATTTTTGGTCCCCACTAGATGGTGCTCTTGGCTTGTTTTGGGGCATGCTTTGTGCCATTTTTTTTAACAGAGAGCTCCATCTACTGGGGTGAAGACGTACAGCAAATGGTTCATGAAACATCATTCTGTCCATCACTACACCCCCGATCTCCTTGCTGGCCGGTGCCAGCACCGCACTGTGGTACTCACGCTTTCCAAGCCGACTCCCCACAGGGTGATCTGCGTGTGCCTCCAGCCATGGCCCCCCGTGCGGCCCCAGACAGCCGGGCTGTGCTGCTGGGCCTTCCTCAGGAAGACCTGTAGGACGCCCACGTGGTGCCCCGACAGCTTGTGCCGGAACGACAGGCAGAGGTCCCCGGCGTCCCAGGGCGCCACCAGCGGGACGACCAGCCGCGCCCCACGCCCACTCCGCCGGCCCCACACCTCGGGGATGGTCAGGTACTTCCCTCCTAGAGGCGGGGTACAGCACAAGGTCAGGAAACAGAGGGCAAATGAATAATCAGCTTTTAAAACAACACGTTTTCATTTATAATGCAGAAGTTTGAATACCACCAATCTGCATATGTAGCTTGTCTGCTCACCCCGTGTCGCATGGGTTAACTCAACCCGACCTCTCCACTTAGGTGAATTGATGTCTGTAAATTGTCCATAGAGCATAACTGTGTGTATGAATGAGTCTGCGCCCTGCGACGGACTGGCATCCTGTTGAGGCTGCCCCCCCCCAACCTTGTGTGGTTTGGGACAGGCTCTAGGCCCCCCTATCCCTGACCAGGCTACGTGGTTGGACGATGGAAGTGTTACTACCTCAGCGATTAACTTGGTCATGTTTGTGATCTCTTGTTCCACAAAGCAGGATTTCTAAGTTAGCTGGGTTAACTTAAGCTAGAAGCAATTACCATACGTTAGTCCCTGATAACCTCTGCCTGAAGGGGGGGTCTGACCAGGTCAGCCCCCGACGCCACACATGGGTGTCATGAAACACCTTGCATTCACCCCTGACCAGGCCAATGCTAAATCTCTGCTGATCTGGCATCTCTTTAACCTCCCCCCCCCCATGGGACTTGGGAAGTAGAAGCCCTCCCTGCTGTCTGGTTGAAAATGTCACAGCCGAATACCTTGATCCCCCCCCTTCAGCAAGGAGTGTAATTTAAGCAAAAAGGCTAGAGGGACCCTGGCTCCAGTTTAATAATGACTTTTTCAAACCGAAGTACAATTTCAGCGAGTGTCTGAATGGCGTAACGTCACATCTGTCTTCTTGTATAACTTCAAAATGCAGACAGCCCCACTAACGGAAAGCACTTTTTCAAAAACAATTCCATTTTTGCTCAAATCGATTTGTGTCTCACTTCAGTTTCAGACGTGGATATATACCCAGCATAAGAAGCACTGACCCAAATGGACTCTGACCCAAACGGCCTCAGAAGTTATTCTAGTATTGTTTTTAAGGTGGAGGGCATAAACAGGGGCCATAATTTCTAGAGAGGCCATCCTCATCATTAGCCAATTATATGCTTTGAACTGGTGAGTTTGGGGAGGGGGCACTCCAGCGGCCAATCAGCTTTCAACTAGGGCCCCTGTAGCCCTGCCCCTGTGTACACTCCTAGTCAGCATAGCTCAGCGAGGAACAAGGGAGCTAGCAATCAAATGAGGGGTGCAGGTGTCACCTGAGGGGTCCTCCGTGGTCTCCCAGTGCTGATCCCCTTCCTTGTCGCTGATCCAGCTGCAGATCCCGTCGTCAAAGGTGCAGCTCAGGAAACCGGCATCTGTACACGGACGTGTGACCCGTCTCAGATGTCTAGAAAGCTCTCGGCTTTCCACACAATGGTTCCAGCTAGGCTAAGATAAGTTAAGCTAGACTATGCTAAAATAAGCTAAGCTAAGTTAAGCTAGGCTATGCTAAAATAAGCTAAGCTAAGTTAAGATAGGCTATGCTAGGGCTACGTGCTTGGGTGAGTTTGCTGTTTCTAGGCCCCCCACTAAAAAAGTGACTGCTAGCATAGCCAATACTTGTGGTCAAAAGGGGGCCCTCAACCCTCAGGGCCCCATGCAAATGCGTAGCTTGAGTGGTGGTAAACACCAGCACTTGGCACATGACTGAGAAGGACGTGGAGACACGAGGACTTAGTGACACTGCCACGTGACTGACTTCAGAGCTGCCTGGGGAGAAATGTAATTATAAACCAAACAACGAAGAGAGCTGGGGCGGACCGAATTGGGAAAGACGGGAAGATACCCAGTATTTGATTTACTCAATTAATTCAAAGAAATCTCTTGTTACGTGCCAATCTCTCTTACCCTGCAAGTCGGCTGTTACACTACAAAGTAAATGTATTACTGTGAGGATGCAGAGAGTGCTTTGAATAACTACCCCCCCCCCCCCCCCAGTTCACAGTTCACTTGGCAACTCCAAAAACACAGCCGGCATTATTCCACACATCGCTGTACAAATTAGATTCTGGACGGGACCCACGTTCATCACTCAGCTCTCCTACCATTTCCTGGCCAATGAAAACCCTCTCTGCGCTGAGCCCGGCTAATGAGACAAAGGCCCCGCTTGCCAAAACAAACACCTGGCGTACTCGCACCGTTAGGTCATACGATTTTGTTGCAGCCAAATCCGTTGCCAAACTTTCTATTAGAGAAGACTATGCATCTGGCCATCCTGTTCTCTTAGGCATGAGAATGGTGCATTTTTTGCGGTTTTCGGGGCTGATTGCAAACAGAAATGGATTTGATATGTAGTTCATGGCCTGTATGTTACATGTCTTTCAATACATTATGTAGCTGAGATGTGGCTTTTCTGAACAGCACCGCTAGAGAGGCCGCAATGAGCACTAAGCCATCTAGGTCTTACATGTACATTTTTTTGTGCAATCTTGGACAGGCGAAACCTGCGAGCTTACCAGGGTCGTCGTGTGCCTCTTCTGCGGTGTTGCCCAACTCGATGTCGTAATCGAACCCCAAAACGTTGTTTTGGCCCTGATTCCGAGGAACTATAAAGAAAAACCAAAGGAAGACATGAAGTTTACGGCAAACCCAAGCATGTTGCCTATGACTCCCACCAGCCTGTGTGGAGGAAGTGTGTATTCCTTAACGACTGCGCCACCTGCTGGCCTAAACAAACTACTACACCTTCTAAAGAAATCACACATTCAAATATTCTATAACATGGCAACCTGAGTCATAGCTGATGATACAGATAAGATTCCACTACAGCAAACCAGATTGGTTTTCTAAATTTAATCTGCAGTATATTTAACGAAACCTCTACAACCGACTGATATGACACAGGGAAAAGATTCCCTTGCGCTGCTGTTGTAGGACTTGATGTCATCACTCATGCTGGAATTCAGTTCCTAGTTAGGACAGCGGAGAGCACTGGAAAGCACTCGCGTTACAGTAATTCTGATGCAAGCGGTGGGTAACTGCAGGCACTACCCATAAGCCCCTGCTCCTCACTGAAATAACATAGGGTGTCCTTGTGTGATCCTGCACTTTACAGTTTTGTACCTTTATACGGTCACGGGCTAAAACGAACTTGACAGCTTTGAACCCAATGTTCAAGCCTAACCCTGCACTGAGTGCAAAGCTCAAGCCAAATCATATATCGAGTCCAAGACTCAAGCCTAAACCCACACTGATCCCAAAGCTCGAGCCTAACCTAGACCCCACCTTTTCTGCTTTTCTCCTGTGTGGCTGACTGGGAGCCTGCTCTTTTCATACTGAGTAAATCCTTAACTGTGCAATGGCAATTTGTCTCCAGCAGGGGGAGCAGTGGAGTCTGCAGCATTCCACAACCATAAGCATAAAATACCTGATCCTTGACACCCTGAGACACGGCCCCCATGATTTAACACTCCGCTGGGCCTCAGCAGAGAACGCAGATGACCAAGAAGCCCTCCCTTGTGCAGGGGGCCCCGATAGGATTGGGGAACGTGGGTAATGTCGGGCACTCAACCAGCAAGGGAGGTTAAGCTGAGGGGGACCCCCCTGGTGCTAAATTAGCCGGTTCCTGATTTAAGCACAAAGGTATCAGTGACATATCGCCTCCTTCCAGCGTGACTGGTTGGGTGTCGGGTTATCAGCCTGCCGCACCAGCGCGGCAGCGGCGGGGCCTGTAGCGGCCCGCAGGATAATCGCGTTTGTTCCCTTATCTGCGCTGGCAAGGAAGACGAGGAAATCTCCTCGGAGACCACTCCGGCGAAATGAAAGAGAGCAAGCAAGTGAGATCATTTTTTTATTTTTTTTTACCCACTGGCTATTTTTATACCACAATTTATGCAGAAAAGACCTAAAAAAGATTTAATGAATTCACCCAGCTCTGTTAATGCATCAGACTCGCTGCATGTACATTCTCAAGGTGCAGGATCTATCAAGCAGGCATGTTGAAATAAACATGACTTTACTGCTTCTTCCATCTCCCTTTGAGCCACAGAGCGAAAAAACTCACAGACGAGTGCTTATCTGATAAAAGTCCTTCTTTTATTTCATTCATGGACAACGTCTGGGTGGTCAGGGACCTGCCGGTGACCTGGGAGGTGGGCAGTGCCAGCCATGAGAAATTTTGAAGTCAGAGGCGGGAGTACTGTGTGCAGCCAATCACAGACGGGTCACCTGCTTCCTATTGGTGACTTTGAAGGTTCCAACCAATATAAACCAATCAGCTGCTGAAAGCGTACAGCGATCCCATCCACAGTGGCATTCAAGGCTAAACCATACCGCCATTCCCATGCACAAGGTTTGTCGATATAAAATGCCGCAGTTGACAGCTGACAGGTCGCGTGGACACTTGACATCGTCGCCAACATGTCACCTGACATCATCGCCACGTCGCGGAGGGTGAGATCCCACACCAGAGCGAGATGTGAGATCCGTTCTTGCAATCCGCCAGACCTCAGGCGAATTTATTTAGCCATAATTTGTTTTTAATCACTGCGCCAGGAGGGGGAAGAGATTCTGTTTATCATTCCTCCATTTTCACGTCATTAGGATCCATCTGGCGCCGAGCCGTCGGACAGACCTCAATCTCGAATTAAAACCTCCGCCGCCCTCCGCACCTGAAACAGTCACCCCATTTTGGCGGTCTGCACTCGGTGTCACATCGCCGACACATCAGACGACGACCGAGGTGCTCAGCGCTCTGCCTACTTGTCGGCGCGAATCCAGGAAAATCGCTTTCGTTATGTGGCAACAGCTGACAAGCCCGAATTCACCGAAATGCCTCTCACATTGCCTGCTGCCCCCCGCGGTCATCTGCCGACACATAAAGGAGACCTCACAAGCCCTTTCTTTTAAGCAGGGGTGAGGAAACACAAAACCTAAAACCGCCAGTTCCTGAAACCTCAGCCTCCCTTCCCCCTCGAGGGAACCCCAGCCGTCGCGTACGTCAGTCACGTCCCACGGAAAGCACCGGAGAGAGCCGAGGAGCCGTCTGCGGCACCGCATTTCTGACTCCTCGGTGAATTTGTCATGCCCGGTAAATCTGTCCACAGACTGGACGATTTTATTATTTATCTCTGGCGCAATAACAGGGCCGTAGCCGCAGATTCTGGCAGAGCTCTGAGACGCGTCGACACGTCTGACACAGTTCAGTGATCGTCGTGACAGTGTTTCCCAGCCAAGACGGTGAGCGGTGTTAGTGAGCCACTTGAGCGACACGTCGCTGTGGAAGCCCCCTACCGCACGGGAGAAAGCAGGAGAGAATCTTACTGTGAACATCCCCTCTGGGCTTGGAGGTGACCTCCTTCTGGATGCTGTTGTCCACCGTGGTGCTCTTGGGAGTCGGGGCCGGCTGAGTGGGGGTCACCGGGACCTTGCGGGGGGGCGTGGGTGCGGGGGCGGGGACGCCGGGTCGGAACCACCGGCTTCTGCGTGGGAACCGCCGGTCTGACTGTGACTATGGGCGGCTTGGGGGTGGGAATGACCCGCTTCTTGGTGGTACTGGGAATGCTGGTGGTGATCGATTTGGGCGTGGCGGGCGGACGGACGGTGATGGGCGGCTTCTTATCGTTGTAGTCTGGGATCTTGTTGTTCGGGGGGTTTTTTCCTGGTCTGGGGGGGTCAATGCTCACCTTGGGAATAGCTAGGAAGGCAACAAAAAAACACACCATTTATTTCCAACTGGTTTTTCGCTCCTTCTCAAGGCAGCGCAATTTAAAAACAAATTTCCAGTTAGTATCTATAGATTTAGAGCCCCAGATGATCAGTGTGGACATGCAAGGGGGGTGATCGCCCCCTCCGTGCTACCACCTATTTTCACCAAGGGGGGGGCAGATTAAATCCTCTCAAGCATGACCTCTTCCACTCCTCCCCCTTCTAAGGATGACTGAGCTCAAACAGGCAGTTAAATTCACTGGACCTGCGTTTCACCCCCGAACAGGAAGAACACGGAAGGAGTACATCTGACAGACCGTTCATTCAGCCCGGATATCCTGAGGCCTTACTGATTCCCTCACTGACCGTTTAAAGCCTAAACATTATACATCAAGCAGCTGATAGTCAATAAAGCAGCATAAAAAAAAAAAACAGTTTAAAAACAGGCAAGAAACAGTATCAACGCATGCTGAATAGTGTTCTTTTAAATATATATGTCTTTTTCAAAAAGGATGATGTCCCAGAACTTTTTAAAGTTTAATTAAATTGTCTAATAAATGGGGCGTCATGTTCAAGGGGCAGTTGAGGATGATTTACTCTTATCCCCCGTTACGGTTAAGTCCAGCACCAACATGTCTGAAAATGTCAGACTTTATGACAGAATCGCAGTCTTCCCTTTGTATTGAAATCCAAGTCATGTTAGTACCTTGGTTTCGACAGTTAGATGCTACCATTACCCACTCTGGGGGTGGGGGGCCCTGTAAATATCCCCCCCCCCCAAGCCCTCACACCAAGCCATTCAGTCTTTCTAACTGTCAAGATGACCAGCCCAAGACTTTGTTTGCAAAACTGTCTTTTCAAACTACACTAGAGAAGACAGATATTCAGTTCCCACACTGACATTTAAAAATGGTAACGGCCATGTGTATCCGCTGAGTATTGGCCACGCCCCCACCCCAAAAGCAATTAATAAACACAATTAACGGAAGGGGACTTGTGAAAAATTGGACAAGAATTACAGAGGCTTTTTAAAAGCTCACAAATGGGTCAATATCACACGCCGATTAAACGAGCAACATGGAGTGCACTACATTTGCTTCGCGTGAGTTATTCTCCAAAAAACCCGACAGTTTTGCATTTGGTTGTGGAGGGGTGTGCTGGTGCAGAATCTCCACTTACAGGATGACTTTGACACCAAAAACACAAACGGGATGTTGTAATTTAATTCCCCCCCGCGGGTTGTACCGCATGCCCAGCTGACAGCTGATGAAGGAGCCTGCGTGTCCGTCGTGTGTGCAATCCGAGTGTCCTTTTAGAGCAGCGTAGCGGAATGTGGAGGGACGGACCGGAATTTGCCGGGACGCTTTAGGATTGGAATTGGAACACTCCGTCAATAAAGAAGCAGCCTGCTTTAACGGCGAATGACCTGTCAGCTCATCAGCGCACCGTCAGTCGGCATTATCGGGCACCAGTTGGGGAACAGTAGGTGTAAACAAAAGAGTGTGGGGGGAAAATTAATTTGACAGCGAAAGTAATACGATTCCCCCCCCTGCATATTGCCTTTCGAGATTAAAACGATCCTGCCGTAAGACTCTGATATCGACGCACATTCAGCCGATAAAGCGTGAGGGGCAGCGTAGCTCGGAACAGGCAGGCAGCCCGTGACTAGCAGACTTTAAGATAGTGAAGCAGCCTCGCGTAACTCCTATAGCACATATTATTAACCAGCCCAACTTTAAGATGAAAGAGAATCAGAAGAACAAAAGAGAACTGAGCCCCAGCTCCACAGCACTCTGACCTCCCTCCCCGTCCCGACAGTCCCTCCCGGAGTGGGAGGGGACGGCGACTTGCGGCGCTTACGCTTGCAGTCGTAGCCAATCCCGCGGAAGCCATCCTTGCACTTGCACTTGTAGGACCCCGGTGTGTTGTAGCAGACGGACGAGCGGAAGCACTGGTGCTGGCCGGTGGCACACTCGTCCACATCTGGGGGAGGGACGCAAACAAGAGGGGGGTGACTCACACACCGCATGGGCTAGATGTCCGGTTTTCAGCAGCATTAACCAGAACCTGCTGAAAATTCACCTCCAGCTCTGCCCTACATTAATTTTTCACCTGCTGAAAAATAGCACTGAACCCCAGACAACACACAGACTTCGCTCCAAAGTTCTTGGGCACATTCACCAGAGCCGCTCTGCTGAAATTCCTGGTAGTTATAGGAATTTTAAGCAGAGAATTTAGCTTAAATTCCATACAGAATTATGTTTAGACAGAAAACACAGTGTAAGTTTCTGTCAGTGGGCTGAGAAATAGCCAAGCTAGTAAGTAATCATCAAACATCAGTATTACCACAGTAATAAACTCATAATCTCATGTTCACCTTTTGGTTTTAGCCCCTTAGATTGCTTCCTTGGACTCACTAGGGGGGCGGTCTCTGGGAGCCATGGTAACCACAGCAGATGCCGACCAATAGGCTTGCAGGATCCCCGGCCCCGCCCCCTTACCCGTGCACTGGTATTTGCCGTTGATGTACTGCAGCTCGAACCCGTCATGACACTTGCAGATGTAGCTCCCGAAGGTGTTGACGCATTTGCGGAAGCGGGGACACACCCCCTGTCCCGCAGCACACTCGTCCACATCTGGAAAGGGAAAGGTCGAGATCACGCGAGCAAGTGCACTCATGTAAGGACGCAAGGATTTGACGAGTTTTACAATTGAGAGAAGGCCATTTAGCCATTATTCGTCTTATTCTACATCTGAACACTTTTTCAAGTGCCTGAACTACCCAAGCCGACCTCCCCATCCGTTTGTAGAGCAACATTCTCTTTGTCCCATTATAAACTGGTCTCCAACCGCTCCCCACTCTTAAATCCCAGTATTGTGCCTATAAGTACCCCGAGAGCCCTCAGCACCTTTTGATCCCCCAGATCTGCCCCCTACCCCCGAACCCCCAGCCTGAGCGGGTTTAAAAGCCAAAATAAGCCCCCCCACCTATTCTTTGGCCAAGTGCCGGCCCCCCAACTGCAAACAAGCTCCTCTTTCTCCCCACTTCTGTCTTTTATAGGAAATCACGCTACTTCTAACAGAAGAGAGATTAGCACTATTAACTTGAAAAACATCAGGAAAAACCCCTTGGTTTTCAATTAATCACAATGGTGGACCAGAAGTTTAAAATGAAACGACTTTTTCAGTCGTTTCATTCGGCTCTATTTTAATGGAAATCATTGGCCCAGGCCGACTGCGCTGGACGGAGAAGGCCGTTCATGATAACCCCTGAGTGAAGCAACGTCCTTCTCCATCGTCAGCCTCTCCATGTTCCTGCTTAAGTCCTTCTTTTCAAAATTGACTTCAAACGGGAAAAATCCTGTGAGGCAAAATCTTCTGATGAGTTACACTGAGCTGTTTTTGAAGTCTTAACTCATCCACGAGTTCCCCCCGCCACCCCTGACCCCAGAGCAGAGCAGGCTACAGGGAACTGGGGGGGGGGGGGGGGAGGGGAGGGGGTGTTTTGGGAGGTGCATTTAAATGAAGGTTAATCTCCGCGATTTGTACACCGACCGTCTGAACCTCAGCAGTGAATTAATTTCTCCACTGACAGACATTAAAGACAAGACGGGGGAAAAAAATAAAATGTCTTTATGCTGAATGCATGTCACCTTTGATTCTAATTGACTGGGATGTCATGCCACAGTTCAGCCAGCGGGGGCGCCACCCCGCTCACATTGCACATAAATACCCAAACCTAAACCATGGCTGGTGGGCATGATTTAAGGCGTATGGAAACGGATGCCCTTGAAGGCTTTTTTTTGCCAGAGATGAATTTGATCCATCCCTTAGAGCCCCGACTGAGCCCCGACTGAGCAGCAGGCAAGCGTGACATCAGCACGGCGAAGCGAAGAACATACCTACACAGGTCCTGCCGTCGGGGCCCAGCTGTAACCCTGGCGACGGACACTGGCATCTCACCTCCCCCTTCATCACCTCACAGCCGTACTGACAGTTGGCCATGCCGCAGGTACGTGCATCTGGGGGAGGAGTTATAGGGCACCAGCAGGTACAGGTATCCAGGATGCACATCACTTAATAAGAAAAATGTATATACAGCACACGTGTAACACTGGATATCACTGGATATCACTGGATATCACTGGATATCATCGTCGTATAAAATACTCAAATCCCGACATGGCTGAGCGTAACCCAGAGGTAGAAATGACAAGTATGGAAGGAAAGTTAATCCAGCATTATTAGATTCCACAGGTGTCCCTCCAGGATCTGCCGCTGTGGCCTTTGTCATGGGGACGCAGGGGAGCTGGCCCCAGCCGGCCGCACCATGGCCGCTAAACTGTCTGAATGGAGTTGCTTTGTCACAGTGGTTTGTGGAAATCTGGTGGCAGCGACCTCGCAGACCGGCCCGCTCACCTGAACGCTCAGGGGTATTCTCACGCTGGTCCGCGAGCTGTCAGATAGAGAGCCCTTACAGCCAACATAATAGGTAACCGTGGAAACACCAAGCGTGCTTCAAATCATTGGTTCAGATCTTTTGTTTTTTTTGTTTTTTTAAATATAAATGCTGGTACTACTTGTTAGCTTTAGTTTAGCCAGGGTGCTTTGCAGATTTTCACGCCCCCTGAAGGTAATGACTCAAAGTAGGTGCAGCGTGACGGATCTCCGAGAGGTAGCCGGTGATTAATTAAAAGTGAGCCCAGAAGGGATGCCGGGATTGGATCCAAAATCGGCGAGAAGGTTCCCTCCCCGTCCCGGAAGGGGCAGCAATCCGGCGCGTCATTGTAAGCCTGGTCACGTGGCACGGCCCCCGCGCCATGACGGGACTGCCAAAGGGACCCCAGTCTCTGCCGAAGGCGCTTGGAAAACCTCCCCCCCTTCCCGTCTCCGAGGGAGAGTCTGAAGTTCTTCAAACGGCGGTTGCCGTGCGTAAGGAGTTCAGTCGGCGCCCCTGTCGAGGGACTGCTGTGCCCGGCGGCGAGCGGCGGGGCGTTTACATCACTCACAGGGTGACCTTCATCTCGTGTCTCATATCTTTCTTTTGAGCCCCCGTACCCTGCTCTGCAGAGATGCCCCCGGCTCTGCGCTGGCCCCTATTTACAACCCCTCTATCCCGCAATGACATCTTCGCTCAAAGGAAATGGGCACCGACCTCAATCCGCTCCAGCGAGACCGGAAGGCAGATAGCTCCCGTGTTCTCGAAACGGCCTTGTTTTGGGGGGGCAGTTTCTTAACATTCCCCGGGGGGGGCCCTGCACTGATGATGATGGGGGGGGGAGCCACTCACTTCCACAGGAGCCGTCGGGCAGCAGCATGTAGCCATTGAGGCAGTAGCACTTGTAGCTCCCGTAAGTGTTCATGCAGCGGTGTTTGCAGGGTCGAGGTTTCAGGCCGCACTCGTTCAGGTCTGCAGAGAGGGGTCAGAGGTCAAAGGTCAGAGGTCAACCTCCAAAAACGAAAACAAAAAACCCACTGATTTTCTGGAGCAGGATATGATGATGATCAAGAAAGGCCCGACATACTGAAGATGGTTGGTTTTGGATGCTTTTGCGCGATTACTCCTGAAATATATTTATTTCAGATGTATCGCTTGCGGCCATAAATCTGGAATAAATACACCCGTTACCAGACTATGACATCATAATGGAAAAAAAACCACTGAGTTTATTGTGAGGGCGTCCAAAAATTTTGCCGGAGATGAATGCCAACATTTCGCACACCCCCGGATGATGAGCGGCATACTTACCAGCAGGGACGCCGGCGGGGACCGCTGGAGCCCATGGCTACTCCGTCCCAGATAGAGGTGTTATGAATTCCCCCCCCCCCCCCCAAAAAAAAAAAAACAAAAGCACATCATCTGAAGGGGGTGACAGAGGACCTACAGAGTTTCACGTGGACCGCCAGGTGTAACCTGAGGACCCTAGATGTCTGGGGGTGGGAGTTAGGGTGAGAGAGGGGGGGTTTGCTGAGTGCTTACAGGCTAAGTATAGCTCAATGAGCTGTATTGGTTACAATGCTGGTTTTTAAAGCCAAACATGAGATCAAGGCTCACCAGCTTGGGTTTTGGCTGTAAGGCGCCCCCACCCCCTCCCCTCCCCACCCCCCATCTCATTGGCACCATCTTTAGCTCTGGCCGAGAGCCTTCGGGGTGAGCGGAGAGGGGGGGGGGGCGCTGCCTTAAATGGACGCCCAGTACAGCCTCTGCAGCGTGATCCTGCACAAGATTTTCAAACTGGGGATATAGGTCGACGTCATAAACATTTGCCTCAAATACATAACAAAGGTTTAGCCCCCCCCCAGCCCCAATAACCAGCAATTTACAGCTCCTTAGAGTGCAGGCAGATGGAGGTTGAGGTCGGAGCAGTCCGAGAGCCCCCCCAGTCATATCTCAGGTTCATCACTGATGTGGTTGCGTCTTTTGAAGCCGGGGATGACAGTCAACCACAACAAAGACCCAGGAACGCCTGAAGGCAGTCATATAACCTTCCCTTCTAGATTAAAGTGTCTGGGTATATCTTCAATTTTTAAAACGGATTATTCCACTCTGCCTCTGGAAAATTTGTTTCTAAAGTCCTCCAGCAATTCAGATCCAGTTTTCCGTTGCCGGCCGTCCTGTTATTACAGAGCAGATGAAGGAGAAGATGCGTTACAGGTTTTTATCCACAAAACTGCACCAGCTTTCTTCCATCTGTAAGGTATCGTCAGTGACTGCAAAAAGGACGTCAGGACAATTCATCAGGCAGACAAACGAGCACGGAGCCCCTAGACAGTGTGAAGCTGAACCGCGGGGCCCAGAGAACCGGCCTTGGGACGTAGAATGAGCTAACGATCTCTTGATGGGAGGGAGAGAAATCGATCTTTTTGCGGCGACTTCATCTTCCCAAGATAATAGTTCAGCAATCTCGAAATAAAAAGGAGATTGTGAAATAACTTAAAATATATGTGAAGCTTTAAAAACAGTCCACCTGTACTGCACTTAAAATCAAAAGAATCGGCGATTTTGATGGTAAATCTATGTGAGTTTTGATTTAAATTGGCTGTTCAGGTTCCTTTTTCGGGACAGTTCAATCGAGTATTTCGGCTAATTTTTTTAAGCGTTTTTTTCTTCCGTTTGTAAAATGACAGCTTCTTTTTTAAAAATAAAATAAAAAATGGACGGATTCTGCGTATGATCAAACTCCCCTTTCAACTGCTAACACCCTGCTTCCCCACCCCCCCCCTTCACATTTCCAATTCCATTTCATTTGACGGTTTCCCTCAGCTGCTTGAGAGGGGCCCAGAATCATGGGAGGGAAGATGGGCAGCTTGTGCTGGCTTCCTCACACCGTGGAGTTCGCCAGCAATGGCCGCTGTGGGGAGGAAGACGGCAGAGCAGTGTCCGTACTGCCCGGAAAGGCAGTTGACAGTAACGAGGGCAGATTCACAAACCCCGCGCTGCACATTTCTCCGGGAAAAAGTACCAGGCTAGGTATACGGCCAGGGTTTTCCACTGCAGAGACTGGCAAGTGGCCAGGGGAGGGGGGCAATTTGAAATAAAAATGGAGGGGAGAGGACAGGCCTACAGCGTATCTAACTCTGCTCGTTCCGGTTTGGGATGCCGGATTCTCCGCTGGAACTCAAAGATCCCAAAAATAGGGATGTATCAGCCTCTGAAAGAGTTCAGGGATCACTGTGGCTTCCACTCGACCTCAATGTGCCCCAGCTCAGTTCCCGTGGACTGCTGAGGTGGGGGGTGCACTGGGTGGGGGGGGCACCGGGAGGAGCAAGGAGTAGAAAACGAACTTGCTGGAACCTTTACAGGAGGTCGTTTAAGGTAAACACTGAACGTGAAAATGCTTCCCGAAGGCTGGTATCAATTAAATAAAGCGTGAAAGTCCTTAGCAGTGAAACATGTTACCAGCTGCTTGTTACTGCCTGGTTTATGACAAAATAACTGCAAGGAGCAAAACTCTAGCCGCCCTCTTCTGCAGGTCTGCTAGTGTAATGCTCCACTGCATCAAGTGCACTGGTCCAGTTTACGCCCCGATATTGTACATGCTGACAGAGTCTCGACTGTGGCGGTGCTCTCGGCCAAAGGGCCAGGCAAAGAGGAGCCCTGCCAGGAGAAGATTCAAGGAGAAGGAAAGAGGAGGGCCGCAGGGGAGAGACAGCCAAGAAGAGGAGGAGAAGGAGAGGTTCTGGCGGCTTTTCAGGAGGTTGGGCACAGCGCGGTTCTCGGTGATGCCATGCTTGGCTTTGGGCTCCGCATTCCGCGTTCGCCGCCGGACAGCGTGCGCCATGCGAGGGGGGGAGGGGGAACAAGAGGGCTGGCTTGCCTGCTGGCCGAATGGAGCCGCTTACCCTGTGGAGGAAGGACCCCTGCTGGTGGGAGGTCCACGGGGAAAAAGACGGGAGGGTGTCCGTCCCATACTGGAGGAGTTACATACTCCTGCTCATCTTCTCGAAGGAGAAAGGAGGGGACATAACAGAATGGGAGTGAACGACAGGGGTCATGAATCAGGCGACTGACCAAACAACATTCCTGGAGCGAACCGTAACATTATTCGGAGAGAGAATTACAACCTTAAGGACCAGCAGTCAGCAAATCCTGTTCCCAGTACAGTAATGTAGTCACTGTTTTCCTGTCAGGACAGAAGCACCACAGAAGTCTCTGCCACCTCCAGTTGTATGTAGGATCCTACAAGTGGCAGCTTGTAACGTCTCACATTCAGATCTCATCAGCAAGACGCTCAACCCAACCTGATAGGTTCATAATTTTAATTCACACGACGGATCACATGACGATCAACCTCCACTGGCTATCAATTGGCTGCCGTGACAGAATCCCTGAATAAAGTTCATGATGCCCTGGGTCATCGCTACAGAAACAGACCTTCAGAATGCTACCCACGGACAACCTCAGGCAGTACAACTCGCGCCAGATCCCACAACTTCCTCTGAAGACCATGGAAAAGCTGAGGGTGAACCATTCTGAAGGATGACCTTGAAAGCATCTGAAGAATGGCCCAGGTATGACCTGCAATGGTGGAACGTCGCACCTGAGGTCAAGCAGGTTAAACACTGAGATGTAGCACATGTGCGATAATCCTAGCAGCTTAACTTTCCTAATAAATGTAAGTATATCCCAGCGGAAGTAGCCTTCGATGGCCAGAAATAAACACGACAGAAGACTGGTATGCAATGCCGGCTAAAACGAACTTAAAATACCAAAGATTCAGGTGCAGGAATCCTGGCAAAGGAATTCAAAATGCCGTCATGTAGTTTATTGCCGAAGGCTGGTGCCAGGGAAGATCTGACAGCTAACGGGCGAGAACAGCCAGGCTAAAGGGAACACGAGCGGGCACCTGACTCTATTTGAGCCTGGGGAACATCTGGAAGGAGAAGAAGTGAGCTATGGCAGGGGTGGCTGTTGGATCGCTGCCCATGAAGTGCTCTCAATTAAGCATCTATTTCCCTGGTTTACAGAAAGCATGGCCTTGCGATTCCCAGACTGGCTTTTATTAACATGTGACCGGGGAAGCGGCACAGCGGGAAGCCAGATACTCATTAACCAAATTCGCAAAAATAATCAACTTATTAAAATGATTTTCCTGGGGGGTAGGGGAGGGGTGCGGATCCCCACGCCGTGCCTCTGCTAACCGGATCAGCTTCCCATGAGTATATTTGTTCTGGGAAATCGAATCCTATCTAATAGAGTCCACCTGCGTTTCTGGAGGGGGCATCATCTGCTAAGGAGCTGAAGCCATACCTCCAATTCGGGAAGGCGGGGGCATTAAAGAGACGTCGATGGCCAGCCTCCACGCCTTCCCACAATGCTCTCTGCTCCAAACCTGGCCTCTCTGTCTGCACGCTGGATGCTTCCTCGCTTCCGCCGGTGGTTTATGATGCACCCCTTTTCTTTCCATGTACATCAGCAGCATGTTCTTCAGCAATAATCCCACAATACCCCTCCTGTGTATTTTAAGGGGGGGGGGGGGGGGGGGGGGTTAAAGCCTCCACTTTATAAGTGCTCCTCTGGGCTATACCACAGCAGTACTGTTCTTCTAGACTGAGCACGTGCGGCTGCCTGTGCACCTTGGCATGACTGCTTGAGGCGAGATGAGCATATTTTCAATATTACATATACCAGCCCCCCCCCCCTCCCCCCCATACAAATAATGTTATTACTTCAGAAACTATTATTCTTAAATTGCTTCCAAATCAGGTTAGGTAACTTTTATACAAACTAACATAGTGCACTGGAAGTGAGTGAGATGAGGTCACATCAGATATTTTCTGCACCCCCTGGGTGTTTTGGGGCATACTGTAGCTAAAGCCTCCCGTCATCCGAAATTGCGCCATTTAAAAACACTTTTTACTCTCCAGCCAAGTGTTTTGGAAAGAGATTCAAGAAGTACTTGTTTAAGTCGTGGCAAGATATTACTTTGTACAGAAAGACAAAGAAAAAAAAATAAAAGCATTCTACAAAAATGTAATGCATATGAAAAGTGTAGCAGTGCTTCAGTATAATAGCAGACAAAGTGTACCGTGACATCCTAACAGGAAAAAAATCTGTTTTTTTTTCATGTCGTTTCCCTCTGAGGAGCATCGAAATCCGAAATGTTCTCGGAAACAGAAGATTAATGAACGTAGTTTCTGAAGCGTGTTGCTGAGACACGGGGTGCTGTGTCGCAAAGGCGAGATCGGTACCGCGTCAGCGTGGGTCGGGAACGGGGAGGTGGCACTGTACCCCTGAAACACCACGTGCTCCTGACTGACTCTCCACCTGGGGGGGGGTTAACACAGCACAGGCGTTGAGCCCGCACCCATCTGTCAGGCCGTAAAGCAGAATTATGGATCCCCTTAAAAAGCTGTGATGTTTACGGGGGCTGACCCAGGCGGACAGACGCCACCTCAATAGGGAAACAGAAGACGGCCAGAGGGACATTCTTGGCAGTATTTTCTCCATTTTAATTATACCTTATCCAGTTCCTGTCTAGGGGCTAGAATTTCAAAAAAAAAAAAAAAAGAAAAATCGTGCCTCAGGTCCTCTGACAATCGGAGACGGCCCTCTCCCTGCCTATCACCGCTCCTGTCCTTGGAGATGCCCGGATCGTGAGAAACTCACGCGCAGGATCCGAGGCTGAAAAACCAGATGTTCAAATGACACTGGGCCCCGCCCCCCAACCCCACCGGGCCATCAAGTATTTCTGTGCCTCTTCTCCCCACCCCTATATCTCCGTGCCTAGTGCCCAAATCCGACCCCAGCAACAGCCACAAACAGCTGCCTCATATGA